GCTGCTCCTCATGGTTTACAGGAACAGGGACCTACTGGAGTGGCTCCAATGAGACCACCAGAGATGCACACCCAGCCTGAGAAGTTACAACCTATTAGAGAAGCCAGTAGTGAAGCCTCAACATCAGGTGGTACATCACAGAGAACTGAAACGCAACAGTCAAGTGTTCAGCCATCTGGTTACTCAACATCATCTGATACATACAGCAGAGAACCAGAAAAGATGCCAACTTATCAACTGCAATCACATGGCAGCCAAGATGCTCAAAAAACTAGAGTAAAGCCAGTACCCTCTAAAAGAAGTCCACGGGTTTCCCAGAAAACATCACCCCCAGGTCAAGGAGGTCACTCAGCCTACAAGAATGGTTATCACGTCTGAAAGTGATGAAGATGACACAAAACCATCTGAGGAGGAAATCAGAAAAGCTGAGATTGCGGCAATAAAAGAAACTCCTCCCCCTCCTCCACCTGAGTTCACCGACCAAGAGGAAAGCATTTTAAGTTTTTCAGAAGATGTGTCAGGTTAGTTAATCAGCTTGTATGCTTACAACATCTTGTACAATTTGTTTCTGTTACACTCAGTGTAATAGGCACAGGACAAACCCCACTTTTTAATGATTATTTAGCTTCACAATCGGCTTATTTATTTGCCATAGACAGTTACATAATATTTTGCATACAAATAATGATAATGTCTACGGTAGAAGGCAGACATTAGTTTGTGTAAAGCTATTTTAATCAGCTCCCAGTTAATTATGTAAATGACAGAGGTGTATTTGATGATTAAAATAAGTTGTATTTTAATAATGCAGCATAAAATGAATGTAATTTTATGTGTATGTGCCCTTATATTGAAGATGTGCGCCTAATTATGTTCTCTGTTGTCCTGTAATTCTATTGGAATAAATTATGTTTTGAATGTTGAGATTTAGAAATACTTTGCATGTACATGTATTATGCATGTTGGTTGATATCACCCAATAATTACAGTTCTGTTCTTCCAGACCAATATTTGCTCACAATGATGCACAAGATAAGATAATTAATTGAATTATACTTTCAGATTTTGATATCAGTGCACATCTTCCTGGAACAGACATAAACGAAACGTTCAAATTGGAAGAGAAAATCTCCTCTCCAAGAAGAGCTAGTGGTACTGATCTTAGTAATGCTTATCTACCGAGGGATGAACCACCAAGACAGCCTTCACCAAGGGTAGTGTCAAAGATCCCTCTGACGAGGGAACCGTCAAGAAGGTAAACTTACTTTTACAAAGACACTATCTACCTATAGTCCTTTACTAGAGTCATAGTTAGAAGACAGGTCTCAGACGTGCACGAGAACCTCAACTCAAACATATTGTTAAATACTGTTAGCGTCCTAGTTACCATACTTTAACAAAGTAAAACTGCAAATTTGGCAATTTTGGGTGTTGTTGTGTATGTGTGTTATGTGTTCATAACTTCTTTTGGATAGAAGGCCAATAACCTGTAGGAAACACACCTGATTCATGTACACATCATAGCAAACTACATGTTGCATTCAACCACAAATCACTTTAGCTCATTCAGTAGAGAAACCATACATTCACACACTAGCTCATTGATCTGAAAATCGTTGGTTTGAAGCTAGCGTGTTGCTCCAAAAATGTCCCATTTTTAAATAGTGAGAGGAAAGCTTTTTTGTGAGAACAAGATCGTTCTGAAAAATCGTTCAATTTCTAGTAAATGGGTAATTGGTAAACATGTACTGTTTGAAACAAAGATAAAGTACTTTATTACTAGTATTACTGTAATGAGAGGTACTTTTGTGAATATAGGCAAGATAATTTCTCTATGTATGTTGGTAAATGGTGGGATGGCCACAATTCAAATGTAAATTTTGAGTGTGCTGGATAACATTTGAAGTCTGAATAATTGGTAATATGTATGATTTTGTTTTTGGTTCATGCAGTAACAGTGTTACTAGTGATACCACAGGGCCATCTGTGACAAGCCATGGATTCTGGGTACTGGTTAAAGCTGTTGAAGATGACTTGAGGGAATGTCTGAGTCCACACAAGATTTACAGATCACAGAAATGTTCACCGACAATAAAAACTGAAATAGTCAAGTAAGTGAATGTGATCAGCATAAATCAAGCACATCTTTAAATTTTAATACGACGATAAGAGAAAAATTACATCAAATGTAACTGAGCTGTTTTTCTGCTGCAATTTGCAAAGAATATCTAAAGTTTAATATTAACTGCATTCTCTTCAGGTCAGCCAATGAAGGTCATACTTTGGAGCACATTGACCCGGCTGCTGTTAGTATGGTTATGTTAAATGAACTACCGTTGCTAATACATGATATGCC